GGCCCCGTATCGTAATTATAGGAGGCCGTCTTTTTTATGACTACATCGATAGCTGTAATAGAGCCAAAAAATGAACAGAATCGTCGTGCGATAAAGCATTCTACCAATGACATAATGTTTGATGATACATCATGTTTTTTTCAAAAAGGTAAGCGAAAATGTGTAAAAGTGTTGGAGCAACGAAATGATTTCTGAAGCTGAAGAACGCCCTTATCTGCATAAGTATAACGTGCCTGCTAGTGAGAGATATTAAAACCGACATCGTTATCAGACCTTCAGAATGACCTTGACCCTGTTCGGACACTCAGTGCTCACATTGAAGATGAAAGTTCTATTGAGAGAGAGTTTTATGAGAAACCTTACTAAACGTGTCTCATACCAAGCTTGAGTGCGACGACTTCGCATATATAAGAAATACTGGTAGAATTTTCAATGAATTTTTAATGATTTGTAAAAAGTTGTAAAAAAATATCTGCGCGACTGTTTCGAGAGCTCAGGATACTTGATTCCCTATTCGATGTCGGATTATAGCTAAAGTATTGGGCATACAGAAAAATGTTAATATGCTTTTTTATGGGCAATTTAATAAACTATATTTTTTATCTGAACTATTTTTCCGTATCAATAATTGTTGCCGATATATAGGCAAGAAACTGAAAAAGTGCTCCTTTTTTCCAGGATGGCGCCTCGAGCGCAACAGATTTTGACGGGGACTTTTAGTATGTCCAATGGGGAACACTAATGAACATGTGTACCAAAATTTCAGATCTTTACCGATTAATATGTTTTTATTTTTTCTTATTTGACTGGACTATATTGATATAAATCGAACCCGAATTTATAAATCACGTTACAATAACAACAAACTATCACGAGCGCCATTAAAAACAGAATCTAAACGTAACCAACGTTCGTGCCCTTCAGATGCCGCAAACAGCTTTCCCCTCCTAAAAATTGCGTGGTTGCCAACTCTCAAAAATGTGTGCATCGTCGTAAGTTGTATATACAGGGTGAAATCTCTTAGTAACTTGATAAGACTTGCTTTTCGTAAAATGTTTATAATTTAATCTCTAAGTGGGTCTCTTTGTCCATAAACATACTCCTAAACTAAATTAAATAAGATAAGCAAGGCACAGGTGTAGTTTGTCATCTTGCGCCTTGGTGGGTCTCTTGAATCAACAAAACGGCGACGTTCTGTTCCGTCCGAAGGAGACTTGACTTCACAGCTTCCGCCACAATCCGGAGGACGGTTATGACTTTCTCCATATCGAATTTGGCTAGAAAGTTCAAAATCGACTGGATAATTGCCGTTCTGGGTTCGCTACCTGACTTCCAGTAGGGGTAGTGTCGGTGGTGGGTCGTTCCGAAGCCTCATCCTTTGTTGCCGCTGCGTAGCTCGTACTAGGACGAGTCTCGGCGATCAAGTGGGAGCCTGCGCATTTCATACAGCGAGCGGCTGCGCGGCAGCATCGCTGGGAATGTTGGAAGACCTGATTGCAGTGACATTGTATTACAATGGGCTTCGATTCGAATACGCAGCCGAAGCACATGTATCTCGTCGAAGATGCGCTTTGAGGCCTCCGTTTTTGGTAGCTGAGCCAGTACCCACGACATCTCTTGCCGGTCGCTTCCGCATCTCATCCAGGCTATTGAAGTCACCTCGATCAACCAGATCCGCTCTAAGGTCTTCTAATGTGGTTTCTATGGAGAGGCCCCATATTACCACTTTTAGGAGCTTACCATCTTGCAGCTAGTAGGTGTGGGTATAAAGCACCCGCAACGCATCGAGGAGTTCGTCGTGGTTGCGGGCTGGATCCGGATGCCGTCCGAGAAGTTTTTGGCTTTGGCAAAGGCCAGGTTCTTCTCGCTCATGGACAACGAGGGGGGCGCATTCGGATGCGACCTCGTTCGCCTTGGCGTTCTGTTGTGGCTACCGGTCTCGCTAAAATGTACCGGTACCGCCTTAATGTTTACGCGCTCGCTTCGCCTAAAAACGGCTGATTTACCGGGACGAGCGTCGCTTTTATTTGGTTTGACTCAACTTTGAGAGAGTCGTAGCCGTTTCTTGCGACTACGACTGGGTTCTGCGGAGAGAGTGGCGGCTTCTACTTCTTCCTGCTGCTCTTCACAGTTGAAAGCCCTCTTGCTCTGCCGGTCTCTTTTTGGAAGCAGCGGAGGGGATTCTTCAATCGGCGCTGGTGATCGGACGATCTGAATTGAGTCTTGCGCGTTGGTTTCTTAGGCGGCGGCTTTCCGTAGCAGGATTAGACAAAATTATCTCTTTCTTTGTCAATATACCTAAGTCTAGGTACAATATTAAGGCAATGAACCGCGGTATCATCTTTTGGATGACCAACTGGGTCCGCGCATTATTTATTTACAAATACAAAAATAACCGTAATAATAAATTACACTGTTACTAATTACGTAAGCCTCCAGAGCCCTTAAAAGTAGCAGGATACATAGGGGTGGGGCTGAGTAAAATTCATTAGAATTAATACAGCACGTTTATAAAATTGGACGTCGATGTATTTTCAGGCATTCCCTCCGCCACGTGGGGCCACGAGCTGCCGCAGACGCTGCAGGACGGCAAGACTTTCGGCAGGGATCAAACATTCTTGGATTTCTCCTGCAAGTGGAGGTGAGCCTCGGACACGTGTGCGTGCGAAAAGGAATGTAATCGTTTTCTTGCAGGGAGAAGCAACCGGAAAAAATCCAGAGGATAGGCTCATTGATTGAGTTTTGTGTTATCGTACGAGATGATCTTCCGTTCGCCGTTTTCGCCTTCCTGATAAAGCACTGTTGCGATTCCGTGCCCGCCTGTGTCCGTCTGGAGGCGGAAAAGTTCCCCGAAGTCCCCCGTGTGAGGGCTTCTTTCAGCTTCTAGAATACCTCCTCCGCGTCTTCCGACATCGTGAATCGCTGGTTAGCTCTGTTTAGCGGTGCATTTTATAACTGTTCTTGGGCGTTCTGCGGTTTTGAGTGTTCCGGAAGCGGCTCGTTTCTCTCAGGTGTTACTATGTGGCCGTGGTATTTGATAGATTTTGCTCCAAATGAGTACTTGCCGGCGGAGAGCTTCATTCTGTGCCTTAGATGTTGTAGATCTTCATCCCATGAGTGGGAGACTACGATGATGCCGTATTTACCGCCGACGGACCTCCTACGTCATCATTTTCTGGAAGGTAGCCGGCGCAGTTTTAAGTCCGCCGGCACAGAATCTTGCATTGTCGTGCTTTTTCGTTACTATGACGAGCCGTAGCTTGAGGAACTGGGCTCCATTATCCCATCTGCCACCATGTTTTCTACTTCCCGGGCGATGAACGGCTTCTTCGTGGAGCATCTGTAGGGAGAAAGCCAGGAGGGGGTGTCTGTACGCAGTCGCATTGCGTCCGTAGTTGTCGTAGTTGTCGATGGGGGCGCTAGGTTGTCTGTTACTGTTTTGAATGTGTCGATGAGTTATTAAAGTGCTAGTTCGAGGGGTGCTGGAAGACGATGCTGTATTTGAGGTCCGTTGTGTCTTCTTCAAAAGTGGGCAGGTAGTCTTGGGGGCTTCTTAAGTGGCGAAAACCAGCAGCTGGGCGCTAGTTTTGTCGTCTTTCGGTAGTTGTGTGGTTGTCTTGCTCTTTGGTTGGGTCTCATTGGGTGATGCCGGGTCCAGAGCGGGTGCTCAGTGGAAGGTTCAAGGCATGGTCCTTCGATCGCGTTGTTCCTGAAGGTCGAGAACGTTGGGTGCCAATCGTTATCCCGACAACGAATTTTAATGGACGCACGAGGAATTGTTCACACGCTTCGTAAGTACGAATAAGCAATGATCCTACAACAAATGATAAGTGTACACACTAATAACTACACAAGGTCTACTAAAGTCCAGAACACAAACACGAATCTCACACACGATCTACAAAGTCACTCGTGGAGGTGGCGTATGGACGGTGGGCGCAGTGGCGTAACTTCATTTTAAGGGCCCGCCCTCAAAAATATTTGGGGACCCTTTCCCTTACGCTTAATATAACCGCTTGAATTTCTAATGACAACCACCTTAAAAATATATAAATGAAAGTTCACTAGAAATACAACCCAGAAGATTCGGATCCTTTAATAAAAATAGCTTCAGGAATTAATCAATTTTAGCCAATTTATTACTTCGCTGTTCAACGTTTGTGTTTTGCTTTGCTCTGTAAGTTCCACTATGGTATTTTCGTCCATTCTGAGCTGTCTGATTTCAAAATACCAAACGATAAGTACTGGTGGCATATCTACAGACGCCGCTAGAGATACATTTAAACTCATTTAGTTATTAAGTTTGATTACCGACTTCTATTCTTTGTGTATGAATCCGCCTTTTTTGAATGACGGTAACTGTTTCGTCCGTGCAGAGGTAAATGCTAGAGCGTTCAAAGTACTTAGTCGCATTCATCTCGAATTACAAGTTCAGTTTAAGGTTACCGTATCCAGGACCTTCAGATATCTTCTGGACTGCAGAAGGTCCCGCTAATTAACAAAGTGTTTCATGTAGGTACTTTATGTAAGAGACTTCAATGTTATTTTTCACAAATGGGAAAAGAGTGGAGTTGCTTTTAAATCTCTTTGAGCTGGCTACTTTTGAGCATATCAAATTTCGTATTAAATTAAGGTCAGATTTAAATAATATGATGTGATGGTTTAAATTCAATAGTTCCTCGGATTGTTAATTTTTGTATGTTGTAGATATGGCCCGGATTTTTCACCTCCTGTGAACAAGTCCGAAGGGCATCACTGAATTGTTGCAGACCGTCAGATGTTTCCATTTATCTTCATCTGCCAGTACCCTAATTTTAGGTCTAGCGTTGAGCGTTTCCAGTGCCAGTAGCGTCTTCTGAATAAGAAATGATAGGTATCACAAAATATTTATGATTAATTGAAAGTAGCGCTAATGACCATAATTGTCGATTTATTTAAAGAAATACAATGTAATATAATAATCTACCACATACACTATCGTGCACTTGGAGGTGGTCCCGTCTGGTCTTCAATGAAGAATGGAATGACTATATAAAAGTCTAGATTTTTTTCATAGACTCCCTGTCTGGAAATTTAACCTCATACGGCACCTGCTCGTGCTCCACCACCCATACGCTACCGCTTTCACCTTTTCCAAGTATCGTTATCGCCCCCTTTCCGACAACTTCTACCCTGCAAGCGGCCAAACTGTCTATCTAACTATCAAAGATATCTAAGTGTCCTTACGATTGAATGGGCGCGTTATTCAAAATTTGCACGCTGCGCTCCTTAAGACCTGGCAAGAACTCATCCAAAATTTTACTCGCGAACGGCACTCTGTCGAGGATTTCAGTATCAGTGAGTCCTGGACAAAGTGTTAGTACTCTAACGCCGTTATAATCGTAGTAATCCGGAAGACCCATCACACGACTGAAAGCAATAACCCAAGCCTTCGTGCCAGAATAAACCGGAGTAAACAAAAGAGGCTCGATACCGTAAACTGAGGCTACGTTGAGTATAACTCCGCCACGTCTACCTCGACTTTTACTCATATATCTGAAACCCAAATAGGTACCTTGCAAGGTTCCAACCTACAAATCAAGGTTCAACTCTGGCACTTACTTACTAACTTACTATGTTCGTATTAATAGCTAACGTGGGGTGAACTTCATTTACAATGCCTGCGTTGTTAATCATAATGTCCAGGCCTTTCCAATGTGCAAATGAGAGCTTGAATGCATCTAGAAGTCGCCACACGTTAAATTCTCGGAGTGATGGTATCTGCTTTACCTTCAAGCGCGCTCGAATTCCCGACATCAGCAGGGATGAAAATTACCTTTCCATGCCCAAATATCTGGTTCAGCGATTTGGCGGCCGACGTGCCTTTACCTACGTTCACACCTACGATGGTGATGCCCTAGTGTGTGTCAATTAAAATTACGCGGCCCTCCATAGTCAAGGATTTACCCTAACTCCATTGCTCAGCAGCTCAGAGGCTATGGTAAGGCCTATACCGCGCGAACCTCCGGTCACCAAGGCGATTTTCCCCTTAAAGTCGAACGGTGCGGTCCCAAATGGGCCATGGCAGGCAACTACCGCTATCAAAATTGTAAGGTACCAACGCACCATTTTCTAACACTCTACTAGCATAAACTCGGTGTTTTGATGCAACCATGTTCTCTTTTATTATTGTCTCAAGGTGAATCTAGTGTGAGACCTCTTAAAAAAAGTAACTAAGTTCTTGCTTGCTCAATTTAAATGTGTTTTTGTTGTTAGATTTACTAATTACTTTCATTCACTTACGAATAGAATGTTATATAATTCCTACTTATACATTGCCGTCCTTGCCATTGTTTGCATCCGTGGTGCTAGTGTTGCACAATCCAGTTGGTACCGAGCGATAACAAAGTCTTCCGGAACTGGAGGTCAGATCGTCATCTTTGAGTGTATCTGTGTATAAGACAAATAAAGCGTGTGCGGACAATTCGCACTCGAAAAATTCGCTCTCGAATAATTCACACCCGGATAATTCTGTAAATCTTTGGGTTATTAAAATTAATTATTTTTAAGAGGCTACTAGACGATTGCCTTTACAGAATGTATGTAGTAGTACACATCTTGGTAAACATCTACTTCATGAAAAAATGTTTCAAATAATAGTTATTTGGTCTTTCATTTTCAACACATCGCGATTCTTGAGTATTTCCATTTCTTAAATATAATCACGCTGGTTTTTTTTTAGGTTGTATGAAGAGTCTGATATAGTTAAATCCTGTAATTTAAGAACACATAATTTTTATCTACTGTGCTTTCGTTTTGAGAAAATAAGAATAGGTAACTGAAACGTCTTTTGTGGAGTAATTAAATACCAAATAGTTATATCTAGTTATAGTATATCTACAATATTATGTGTAATATTCGCTACTTTTGAGAGGCTCTTAAATATTAAAACAGAATCAACATATAATACCGTACACAAACAAAGTGATAAGTCTAAAGTTAATAGTATATTGAAAGAGAAGTGTTACAATGCGACCTATTGTAATACGACTATATCTTGTGGCACGAGTGGCGTAGCGAAGCGGAGCCACGAGTGTCCACAAGATAGGAGTATTATAATAAAGCATTGTAACACGTGTTTTTCATACTATTTTTTCTATTTCGGGGCTTTAATTTAATTAAAAAGTAATTATCAAAAACTACAGGAAACTTTAGAATTGATATGTCTTAAGTTGGCAACACCATTTACGTTGACAAATTTTAAGTTGGCAGCGTAGATAAACACAACACTGTGATGTTGAACCCCTACCGATAGGCAACACATCTTACAACTAAAGGAATTTTAGAATCCCGTTTTGCGCAGACGTGAATTTAGTACAAAAAAACTGGAGAGTGGCGTCGGCGGGAGCACTGGTGGTCCGGATTTTGATGGTGGAGTAGCGGTTTGGTGTGCTTTTCAAAGTTTAGTTAGTGTTTGATATATTTTTCCAAGCGATATCAAGGTAGTACTCGTTTTATTTAAGCTATTTTAAATTCGATGTTTAAATTTCATGCCTTATTTGTTTTCATTTTGAATTTTGCTTTAGATTTGACCTCTGCTGATTGCAGGCATGGCGTGGGCGGCTATTGTTTGAGTTTAGCGTTAAATGAGTCATGTTTTAGCTTGGCTCCTTGTGCGCCTGATTATGCCGCAATGTTTCCCATGATTATTTGAATGTGTTTACGCGGGAGTAGATTGCTAGAATGTTACTGCCCTGAATGTTTGGATTAATAATTTATTTCCGTGGAAGAGAAGAACCACATGCAGTTTGCCCTGTCGCTGTATATGTTTCTTTTTTTCTTCTCGCGCAGGCTGCAGTTCTTAGCGTCTCGCATTAGCGAGAAAGGGGGGCCCTCTGATTAATTTCTCTTCTGTTTAAAATGTGGATTTTTGTATGTGGTGTGGTCTGCTTCCCCTTGAATACCCGTGTTGGCATTCTCAGGTGCACGTGCACTTGTTACGTAATAAATGAATGATAAGCAAGGTCGGGACAAGGTAATGCCTGCTCTACGTGGTTTAAAATGAACTCTTGATGTTTTTTGCAGGTAGTGTTTTTATACCCCAATGATTTATGGAAAATGACAACGTAGGAGTCCATTCGTACAAATTCGTCCAAGTCGAATATTACCGAGATCTGAATGGCGCGAACTTCCGACATTTTGACAGCTAAAGTTAGATGGCGCTGTCTGCGATTTGTTTCCCCAGAGTTGCCAACTGTAAGTACAGGGTAAGTCGATATTTCCAGCAACTCCTGAGGACCCCTAGGAACATTACAACACTGACATTTGGAAACTTTAAATTCCGTGAATGTGTAATTTTTTACTCGTAGATAAATTTATTTATGGTGGATGTCTAAACTGCTGATTTGGAATGTATTAAGTTCTTCGTGTACTAAAAATCAAGGAAAACACATTCATTTTACGTACGTAATTTGATTTCACATCTGATGATTTGACGTTGACGTCTTGGCGAACTGCCAACTTAGAGATGAAAAGTTACCAAAAACAATGTTACAATGGAACTCATTGAAACACTGTTTTTGCCGAAAACAGTTGCACATAATTCTCATTGTAACACCGAAATAGAAATTAGTATATTGAAAGACAAGTGTTACAATGCGACCTATTGTAATACAACTATCTTGTGGCACGAGTGGCGACGCGAAGCGTAGCCACGAGTGTCCGCAAGATAGGAGTATTGCAATAAAGCATTGTAACACGCATTCTTCAAACTATTTTTTCTATTTCGGTGCTTTAATTTAATTAAAAAAATCATTATCAGAAACTATAGGGAACATTAGAACTAACATGTTTTATGTTGGCAACACTTTTTATGCCGTTAAGTTTTAGGTTGGCAGCGTAGTAAGACTGACATTTTGAAATTCAAACATGGAAGTACCCAACGAAGTACCTACTTGTACTAACTAGTAACTGCCAACTTAAGAGATGAGTTACCAAAAAAAACGACTATAATCACTGTCTTTGTACAACTGTTTTCGGCCGAAAACAGTTGTACAAAATCATCAGTGTGACACCTAAATAGAAAAAAATATTTACATTATAAGATCAAGGTGAAAATAGAAAAAGGAAGTAATTTTAACGCCCCCTTACATAAAGACTTCTTAATGAAGACACATAAAAAATGGTTCTTTATTTCTTTAGTTGAAAAGAGTGACAAAGGAAATGAATTAAATTTATTTTAGACTAAACGAGTATGTTTAAATGACAATAGAACAATGCATTTCATAGATGGCACTAAATTTGGATAAGTATAATTAAGATAATATTATAATTAAGGTAAATTTGAAAAAACCCCGATAACACAAATTGCACTTCATAAAGAAACAATAAGAGATATATCGTAATGACATCCTTTCTATTATTTCTGGAAGATGAATAGGGTTTATTACAAGGTAAAAGTAATTAGGTCCGAAAAATCAGGTTTAAGTACGTATGACCACAACTAATTAGAACTTTAACGCCTGTATAGAATCTTCATTCTTGAACGTTTGATAGAGTGGTATTTTAAAATTTATCTGAGCACGGGTTTTGATTTTGTGTATACTTTTTTTTAATTTTAAAAAATTTTATTTCTGGTGGTGGTGTTCAGAAAAGGTAAGTTTCCAGTTTTCTTAGAACCAGTTTTACGTTTCTTTGACCACATATGGCTATATGTTGATTATTGGTGACTGAGTAAAATTACACTAACTGCTTATTTTTTGCGTTATCTTTGCTACAACCATGGTAGTGAATGAACTTAAAAGTTTCCTTTTGATTTTCTTACTGTTATTTATTTTATAGTTTGAAGAGATACATGGAAAAATTTTGGCATTTTTTTAAGAGATTGTTAATAATCAAAACAGTAAGGGTTTTGAAAATCTTGAAACGTTTTAGGAACAGGTCGATATTGATGATTTTTTCTTTTAAATGTTTGTAATTATTAAGTACCTATATACTTCCTTTTTAATTTTGGTATGGCATACCTAGTACTAAAGCAAAACCCTTAGCATTGGTAATTGCGTAACAAGGAAGATAGGACATCATTGGAAAGACTTTCCTTCTCTGAATTTGGTGAGACTATAATTTTTTAGATTTGATATTTTCGAAATATTTTAAAAGTAAGTTGAGGGCGCGCTGTTGTTTATGCCATTGGAAGGATGTCGGGCCGATCACTATGTAATAGAAGGTAATGCGATCGTGCGTCAAAATTATGCAGTTGCAAGTGGTATAAAAAAGAGAAAACTTGTACCTGCAACGTCGAATGCGCTGGAAATGAAACAACTAAACCAAAAAAATTACCTATCCGAATTCAGAGATGGGCGACCTTACCAACGATGCATCATTTAAGATTTTAAGGGTTGCACTGTCAGCGATGCGAGACAAAGACATTAGTGAGCAAGTTTTATTTTAGACACTGTTTCCTTCCATGATCAATTTGACGTGCCAAAGCGTTTTTTGAAAATTATTTTAATTTACAGAAATAGCTATGTATCGCGTTTCTAATGCAACACCGTATATTATTTAACTTCTGAGATATAACACCAAAATCTCCCCATAAAAATTGTTATAATAATCAATGGGTAGATTTTGGTGTTATTTCTCCGAAGCTTCTTAAGCACCCCATTGAGAGTCATGGATCTACACAATTTCAGTATATTATTTAAATAATAGCCATATAATTTATAGCAAGATCAATTGTTTTCACGATATTTATCAACATTTTTTGCTTTTTTCGTTACTTTACAGTTCTTATCTCTTTAATTTTACGGACACTCTCAAGAATCTATTTGTTTTACGTTCAAATATGATTGTAATTTACTTGAGATTCTTTTAAGACAATACATACGTATTTCGTTATGTATGTCCTTTAAATGGACGACATCGAAGGTTAGAGAACTAGGAAACTTAACCTGCAGCTGTTAACAAATAATAATTTATTACTTATTAAAATTTTATTTAGACTTTTATATTCCTATTGCAACATTATTTGTACGTGCGAAAAGGTTTCCAAATGAAAAAAACCTTGATTGTGGATTGGTACAATAAAACTGGGTAAATAGGTTTAAGAAATGTCAGGTGACAGTTTTACT